GGGAGTTGTGCCCTCGCCACTCCCACCCTAGTCCGTGCCTCACTGCATGGGCTCGAACCCGGGTCTTGCCAGCTGAGCTAAAGAAGACAGCTGTTACAATAACAAGAGGACAGACAATGAAATGTGGGCATTTCGAAGGCGCAAAATTAAAAATTCACAATTGCGAGATGCGAAGTCGCAATTCTGAGATGCGAAGTCGCAATTGTGAGATCCCATAGCACATTTTTTTTTACTCCCTGGCGGAAACAGGCTTCCATAATTAACAGACCCCAGCAGCACCTCCCGGACTTTTATTCAGCATCACAATATCACCATTTAAGCACATTGTGAGAGTGCTTAAATGGTGATATTGTGATGCTGAATAAGTGAGATGTATACATGTCCCACTCCATAAAAGATAGATGGCTTTTACACCTAATGTATATTTATGGCTGTAGTCGTTGTTTTATACAGCTATTGAGTGTGGAAACAGTGCGGTCCCACTCTTCCTAGTTCCCCATCTCTTTCACTTTTCTGTCTTCAGAGGTCCGTATGGAAATGAGCTCTCCCATCCTTCCCTGCCCTCTCTGCTCAGTCGGCTTCACATCGCAGATCCGCCTCTTCCGGCACCTCCAGGCAGCCCACCAGACGGAGAACATGGGGCTGCTGAAGCCCTGCACGGTCAGGCTGGATCGCCTCCTGTCGGTCAGGAGACCACCCGAGCTGAACCACGCACACGGCGATTACTCCCCGACGCATCCTCCTGGAATGGCTCCTGGGCACCGGCAGCGTGCGTTGGGCGGAAACGGGCTCGCGGAAGGAGAAGGCCTGGATCACCTCCACCTCCAGGTCCGCGTGGGAAATAGCGGGCAGTGCTGCGAGCGATGTGGGAAGAGTTTTCGGACGTTGAAGGAACTTAACATCCATCACACAATCCACACGGGAAAGAGGCCCCACTGTTGCCTGCAGTGTGGGAAGAGCTTCAGTCAAACCGGGCACTTTAACAGGCACCTGCGCACGCACATGGGAGAGAAGCAGCACTGCTGCACCCTGTGTGGGAAGAGCTTCGCCACCAGGACCACCCTGAAGATGCATCAGCTCATCCACAGCGGGGAGCGACCCTTCTGCTGCGCCCACTGTGGGAAAAGCTTTAACCGCAAGTGCAGGCTGAACGCTCACCAGAACATCCACACGGGGGTGAAACCCTACGTGTGCAGTTACTGTGGGAAGGGATACTTCCTGCTCAAAGATCTCAGCGTGCACGAGCGGATTCACACGGGAGAGAAGCCCTACTGCTGCACCTACTGTGAGATGAGCTTCAGTAGATTGGACACGCTGACGAAGCACAGGCGCATTCACACTGGGGAGAAACCCTTCCAGTGCAGGGACTGTGGGAAGGCCTTCAGCAGAGGCGATGTCCTCAAACTACACCGCCGCACTCACACGGGAGAAAAGCCATACGCCTGCACGCAGTGTGGGATGCGTTTCACTTTTTTGGGGTCCTTGAAGCTCCACCAGAAAATTCACAGCTGATTTTTGTTCTGGGTGGACTCTCTCTGGTGGGATGACCTCACCCTGATGTGTGCTTGTCATTGTCGGCAGATTATCTTGCAACTTTTTTTTTTTTTTTAAATGAAATGTCTTTTTTTAACTTTGCAGATTTGTTAAGTGAACAAATGAGCTGAAGGTGGAATGCCTTCATCCTTCAAACCATCTTTTATTTCCCCCCATTTTAAAGTTGAGGAAGAATTTTAGCATTTACCTTTTAAGTGTACAAGATTGTAGCTATTTGTTCTTGCTAATATGTTTTTTCTGCCTAGTGATAGTAAGAAAGAATACGTTCCTGGCACATAGTTGCATCTTTGTGATGCTAATGGTATAACCATAGAACGCTTAGCTAGATTTCACACATTCTATTTGTTTACTTCCTTTTCACTGAATAAAAGGTGAATTTTCATTTCTTAAGGATAAAGTGGTCAGTTACAAAGAAGTATTTGTAGAAAAAAAACAACTCTTAATATGGAAATTTGGCATGAGCTCTGTTACCCTGAACCTGCTGTATAAAACTCATTGCCTTTGACATCATCATTCAGAGGCTGCTCTCATTTCTGTATTCCTCTCCTCGTGCAGGAATAAAGGACGCTGCTGAACCACATCTAGCCTTAGTGAAGAGTTTTCTTCAACAAAGTGTAGACAAACTTACTGGCAGGCCAAGAACAGCTTGACTGTCAAGTAACACTAGTAATGATCAGTCTTTGAGAAAACTAACCCTCAACGGTAGTTTGTCAGTTGTTCATCACTCTATGGGGAAGGGTATATTTTCTGTATATGTAAAAATGTAATGAGACATCTTATAAATAAAATAAATATTATGAAAAGTTACAGTTGTGACCATTTTTGTACAATTTATGTTAAAACCTTATACCTTAAAGACCCTGGTTTCTAATGGTTTTCTTTTTACCAGGTTAATTGCAGGTTTACTGATTTGGCCAATGGCCTCACATCTAAGTGCATTCGGCTACACTAAATTGTCTCTCTGGTGAAAGAAGTTAAATGTCTGCAGAGACTGTAAAGAAAACAAAAGCATGTTTATTTTATGCTGTTGTGAGAAAAGGTGTATGAACCCTTTGAAATCATCTGTATTCCTGCATCAGTTGCTCCTAAAGTGTGATCTGACCTTCAATTTATACTAATTCTTAGTAATAGATAAATGCAATCTGATTAAACAAATAACACATTTTCTTGTCTATATTGATCACATTGTTTAAACATTCACATTCTATGAAAAAGTAGATATTTTATATTCAGTAATAATGCATCTGTAGACACCCCTACTCTTTTGGGAAAAAAAGCCTATTTTAATGACACACCTGAAGAAGGCTCCACGGCCGAAACGTTGTGTTCTCTTTCTTCTTTTTTTTCAGCATGGAATAAACCTATAACTTGCTATTTTAATGACTACTGAGAGTCAGGACCTCAGTTTTATGTCTCATCTGAAGTAGGATGCCATTTTTTTCATAATTTATTCCTTTTTTATTTTAGAATGGAACTGTTTTATAGTACTTGTATCCATAATTTAACGTGTTAAAATATCTTTTCGACAGCGCTGCCCCTTTCTGTACACTGTTACTGTAGCTGTGTGTTTTTGTTAGCGTCGTGTGTATCTCTTTGTCGCTGGGGGCCTCAGCGCACAGTAATACACGGCGGAGTCCGTCAGTGCCGTCTCCCCTATCGTTAAAGGTACAGCGTTTGATTTCGGATTGAGCTCGGCGTCAAATCTGTTTTTGAACCCTTCGGCGTTGTCCTTATAACCTGAAACATCTCTTTGTAGGATTATCCTTGGAAAGTCATTGCGGTACTGTATGTACCAGAACAGGCTGGGTGAAGTGCTACTGGTGCTGTAAGTACAGTTCAGTGTTGCCTCTCCTCCTTCGGCAATGTTGACACTCTCCGGAGACTGAGTTACCGTGTCTTCTGCTCCGCATTCTGGAAAACAGGAATTCAAGAGTGTTTAATTTTATAGGGAGCAAACACTTTTTTTCCCACTGCAAAAAAAATAGAGGAATAAATAGAATACTTACCTATTAAAGTACCTACTAACACCACAGCAAAAGTTAACAGGAACTTATATTCCATGATTTGTAGCGCAGCAAAAAGTTTTAAAACGTGCTCCAGCGGAGCGAGATATGCATGAATAACAATTTGTGTGCTTGCGCTTTTATATTTAGAAGGAGGACTGACTGTCTCTGGAAAAAAAAGACTCTTAAACTCCTCAATACATGACGTAAACCGACATATGAGTGAAATATGAGTTGCAGTATCGCCACCTGTTGGTTCTTACGATAATATCTTCAACAAACTGGGTTATAAAGTCTCCAACGTTTTGTTTATTAAACTACCTTTATAACTATACATTTAATGTGGATTCGTTTTTTCAGCCTTACAAAGATGGTTGCCAATCTACCCAGGAGTGAGCATCTCACCAAATTCACTCCAATATCAGAATGTATGATTCTCCTAGAGATTGCAAAGAACCCTAAAGCTACATTCAGGCAGGGGAATATCACTGCGTCTTTGCTTTTGAACTTTATGTTACAGAAGTTAAAGCGGAAAACCTAGTGATAAATTCTGGCAAATATTTTCCTTTTCACTACAAGTTGGTGAATTAGTCCTTTTAAAAAAAGGTGCACTTTTTTAAGTTGCAGAATTCTTCGTGGTCCAAGCAGGACAAATTATGTTCGTCCATGCATCTGAAGGATTCAGTGTACTCAAAGCTTTAATAGTAACTGTGATCAGTTTATGTAAATTGTTGTTAATTTTTTTTTTTAATGAGAGCACCTGTTCCTGGGAATTTGGCAGAGAACAATGATCAGATCAAGCCACGGTAAACAGTCAATTGTAGAACAACAGATTAATGATGAAAAAAATACTTCTTCTCTCCCCACATCAAATCCAGTGTGGTTTCACCGATGCTACTGTACTGATGAAATCAAGCAGAACTTCCTGTTATGTGTCACAGCTTGGGAAGAGGGGGTGCTTGAAGTTTTTGTAAGGCGTCTCCATGACTTTTCACACAGTGCTCTTCTCAAAGCACAGTAATAGACAGCCGAGTCACTGGCAGTCAGGAGTTCAATCCTCATTGTAGCTGATGACCCCCTTACAGTAGAGCTGAAACGGGTTTTGGCAAAGTCTGCCTTATACTCAGAACTCCTTGATTGTTCTCCCCTGTAGAGAATGAATTGTGGTGACTGGTGAGGGTACTGTCGGTACCAGTAGAGATAGTAATCAGAGCTACTGCTCTTTGAATAGGAGCAGCTCAGAGTCACCCAGTCCCCCTCTGTCTTGTGGATCACTGTCTGTCGAGGAGAGATGGAGTCACCCACTGCCAAACCTGGAAAAGCAAAATTCAAACATGGGATGGCTGGTGTGTGAAGGAAAGCATAAAAGTGGAAAAGGAGAACGAAGTGGAGAATAAAATTGATATGTAATCATTAGAATGATATTCATCATATTTATAAATACCTGGGAGGAAATTGATCAACATTAAGAGACTGAGGAAATTGTCCATTGTAGCCCTGAGAAAAAGGGCAACACAGGATTCAGATTCTCTGTCTCTTCATCCAGATGCTCTGTCTTGCTGTGGATCTGCAGGGTTTAATCACAGGTCTAAGGCACACCCAGGCAGGATGTGGGCAGGGCTGCCTTCTGCATCGATACACCCTCCTCAGCTTCTCCTCAGTCTTGGACTCAAAGAGTTACAGTAGGTGCAGCTCAACTCCCAGCTGCACTTACAACTTGAGGCATTAAGGATTATAATTGACCTCTGCTTGTAGAATCTTAAAAGTGAGAATCGTTTTCTATAATGTTCTTGACAAGAAACTCTCGAAGAATTATGTGTATCAGATGAAAGAGAAAAAAATGTTTCCCAGAATTCTCAACTGAACACTAAGATAAATTGTGAAATAATTTTACTTTAAATGTGTACACTAAAAAAGACACTAAAACACATTTCCTATCAATATCTGTGACATTAACTTAGATATGAAAAAATACAGACAGTAAGCAAATAAGTAGTTTGCCAAGGAATTTAAATATTGAAATTATTTTTGCTGAGTCAATTACAATCGCATTTTTTTCTTACATTGTACCTCTTGAAATGGAAATCGAATGGGTAAATTGATTCTTAAAATGTGAAGAGCTTTAGAGAAATATATAACAGGGATGTAAGTGCTGAGTTACGTGCGGGTTGTCAGAAGACAGTTTGTCAGGACAGGACATACTGTCTAGATCACCAAATTAGTCGAGTGCTAAGCTAAGCTTTGCAAAATATGTATTGGCACTTCTTCTTTCGTTTCTATGATGTAATCTGTCTTGTCCTAAGGTAAGGGGAAGTATTAGATAAGGACTATGTGCTTTAGTTTTCCACTGCATTACAACATCTTTATAAAAAGCCTGTACTGCCTGTAGCAAGTTGAGTCTCTGACGCACTCTGCAGAGTGACAGCAGGGCTCCCAGTATTGCAATATTGAAATAAAGACTCTCTCTCGTGGCTTCCTAGATAGGTTTATTTCCATGGCACTCTGTAGAGTGTTTGTGTCTGTTAGAGAGTTAAACAGTCCTAAATGTGAGACAAGATTAATGAGACGTCTGCATTGAGCGCTAAAACAATCACTGCGAAAGTAAAATCCCACAACGTTATTACCCATTTGCAAATGCATGCATGTGTGAGTTGCAGTTTGATGAACTGGACTGTTTTCACCTGAACATAGAGCAGTACCTGAAGTGTTAAGAGAGTTAAAAGTGGGTCACCTCACAGTGAGGTTTGTGCACACTGTTCTGCTGCTCTAAAACACTGTGGGACTCAGGGCACAGTAGTATGTAGCACTTTCTGCCACATCAAGCTTCGATATATTGAGCTGAACTTGTTTCGTGTCTTTATCCACCAGTATCTCATAGCCCTCAGTTCTCTTGGTTCCTTGGTAGGAGTCAGTGTGTATGAGATATTCAGGGTTTCCATTGGGACTCTGCCGGTACCAGAAGAGATAATGAGTTGCTGTGGTGCTGGTAGAGTAATTACACATCAGAGTCACTGCTTGTCCGTCTTCAGAGTAGACTTCATTGCTTAGTGGATGGACTGAATCTCCAAAGCTCGCATCTGCAACGGGCAGAGAAGTGTTAATGATGAGCAATCTCAACAGCAATAACAACGTTAATAAAAACATGAGGTACTCACCACACATCAAAACTAAAATCAGATATATTACCATCATTTTTACGATGAAGGAGCTTAGATGTTTCTTAATGTTGTGGCTTCACTGATCACTGGGGAACTGTAAGACCTCAAATGCAGAGCCACTGCTTGTGTTGGACAGCTTGTGAGCTCAGAGGGGTGGAGACTGGTAAAATGGTGACACTGCTGACATACTGTACCTGTTACTGTTAATGTTATCTTGTAAATGAATGCCGTCACTAGGAATTCAGCTTCAGTTTTTTTCAAACACATGTTCATATTTTGAAATAGATAGTGCTTCAATTTGAACGAAATTAGATTTAGCCAATAATCCAAATTTCTTGTAAAAATGATTTGCACAATGTCATTAAAAAAGCTGTTGACATTAATTTATATTAATTTTCTATACTTAAATCAGATGCACAGCTAAATAAGATAAATCCATGAGCCATTATTCATATATTCAAGACTAAAATTTAAATTCCTTAAATTAGATATTAGAAAATGGATATATGGATTAAGGAAACAGTTGTTCCTCTGCAATGGTTTAATTGTAATGAAAAATTTGTCCCTCAGCAGACTTTAAATGTTAATACATTAAATTCAAGCATGAGATCCTATTTATTCATAGATTTTAGATAAATGTCTTATATACTGTAAATAGCCTAATGTACTGTCCTTCAGAAAATCAGGGCCTGAAAGCATCACTTTTCTGCTCTGTATGAAGCAGTTATTTTTTTAGATTTCTCAAAATCTCAACGCTTAAAAAATTAAATTAGTCATTCTGTCATCATGTATTAAATATAGTAAGTGTGGAAATTGTCATTTTTTTCCTTTCTATTACTAATGGAAATAAACAGAAAACAGCACAATACTGTACTGTAGTCTACAACATTTGATTGTTCTCTTGCTTCCTGCTAATACCTATAGTTCCCACTAGGTGACGCCAACAAGCCACATTTATGTCCCCAGGCACAAAAAATAACAAGTCGAAATAGATTTCACAAGTGTTCTGCTTGTATCTTATTGTATCTGTTTTGCATTGCAATCTTGCATTGAAGTATTATCTCACATAATACTACATCTGGTTAAATACTGTGAATTGTGAACAACTGGAGATTTTGTACAAAAACTGGAGGGAAGAGCTGCATCAGTGTGTCATATCAAAATACTGACTGGTATAATATCACAATAATTATATTTTTTTCCAGTGCTTTGGATTTGACATTTTTGGATGTTAATATTGTTTTCACACATTTTATCAGATTTTTAAACTTAAACCTAGATAATAAATGTTTTATTATGTATGTGTATATCTTCCCTGTTTGTTTCTTAGACTTATTTTGCAAGACAATTCCTCTGAAAATTGTATTTCAACACGTCCACTTTTGAAAGCTCAGTATAACTTTAGATTAAAGTTATATGGAAAGTAGTAGAAAGAATTGCTGTTCTTAAGTGATGCTCTTCACCAATTACATTCTCAACTCTGATGCTAACTTGCAACTTTTAAACACCTGCTTGTTTACTGTAAATGATTGTTATTGAACTAATGATTTTGTGGCAAATAATTTTCCAAAGCACTCTGGTACAGTGAGTAATGAATTAGCTCTTATATTTTCTTATATTTTATTTCCACAGATGTTATTTTAAGAAACAGCTCTTTACGTTGGATGTCTGTAACTGTAATGCTGTAATTTATCAGCGGTTTACAATAACACTGATAACATCTGTGGTAAATGATATACAGTAGGTGAGAAAAAAAGAACCTTCAAATAAAATTGCAGAACAAAGACAAACTGGAAAAATGTGATGAAATGTTAACATTCACTTGTCTCCACATCAAATACTACAGAACATTGCCAGTGATATCATACTGAGATACTGAAAATGAACTTCCTGTTCTGCATCCCAGCTGTGGAAGAGAAGATTGCTGGAGTTTTTGAACGGCCTCTCAATGACTTTTCACACTGTGCTGCTCAGTGCACAGAAATAGACACCAGTGTCACTGAGAGAGAGAGTTGTAATGGTCAGTGTAGTGGACTTGTCTGTTACGATGGTTGTGAAACGACTCCTGGCAAAGTCTGCTTTATATGTACTGCTAGAATCCCATGATCTTCTCTTGTACAGTATCAGTTCTGGTGCTTGCTGTGGATACTGGCGGTACCAGTAGAGATAAGGATCTGTAATGCTAGTGGAGTAAGAACAGTCCAGCGTCACTGAGTCCCCTTCGGTTGCGGAGACTTCTGTCTTTTTTGGAGAAAGGGAGTCACTGAATGCTAAATCTGGAAAATTAAAGAAAAAAATATTAATTCCGAGGGCAAGGAGAATAACAAAATATGTGAAATACAACCTGTTTTGGAACTTACGTAGAAGGTTGCTGATTACAAAGATGAGGTTTAGAAACTTAGCCATTGCTGTCCTGAGAAAGATGTGGAGCTCAGAGGATCAGATTCTGATTCTGGTTCTACTGTATCAGGTGCTCTGCCCTGATCTACGTTCATAGTTTAATTCAACTTCTGACACTCCCAGGAAGGATGTGGGCAGTGTTTTCTGTTGTAAAGATATCATCAGACTCGGTGCTTCTTCAATCATCGCCAAATCCCTTATAAAATGTGTACAGCTTTTATGCTGATACGCATTTACATTAGTCTGTTGTTTTCCTAAACCTGCCTTTGTCAAAATGTTCAATCTTCAAAGCTTGCATTTCCTTTATAGAGAGCTATGATTGTAGTTAGCTGAGGAATTATTAAAGAGGTGCAATATAATTGTATTTTCAAAGTTCGTTTCAAGGGAATGGTTAATTTTGCTGTGTTTTATGCCTTTACAAAATTGTGCACCCTGTGTATTGTAAATGTTCCAGCACTATTTACAATGAAAAGAGTTCTGGTAGTTAATACTGAATAAATACCCAGCAAGATGGAATTATAGCAAGAATAGAAGAAAGTTTGTCAACCTGAGGAGGCTATTTGACCCCTTTATTTGTTGTTTTTTTATGACCTAATTTACTGAAGAATCTCATCCAATCGTTTGCTGGAAGAAGCAATGGTTTGTCAAGGTCAGTAGTATTTCTATAGTCTCAAAACTTTAATGCAGTGTCTCCTGCTCTCCCTTTCAATAGTACCTCTTTAGTTTTCTCTTGTTTCTTGTGGTTCTTATTTCACATTTTTCATTTAACACAAAATCCTTTGATTTAAAAACTATTCTTTGAATTTTATACCCTAACATTCTGGCTTTATTAAATTCCTCACAATTACACCCCTACCAGCAGATCCAAAGATTCAAGCTTGATGCAGAAAGATGTGAGGGGGAGGTTTCTGTGTGGTGTTGGTGCAGCTGCTCTCACTGTGGGCTGCAGTGCACAGAAGTAAACTGAAGAATCTGAAAGCTCCACAGAGCTGATCTGAAGATGAAACGTCCTTTGTGCTTTGTCGTGATCTGCTGAAAGACGGTTTTTGAACTTTTCGGGTATGCTCTCTTCCTTCAGAAGCTCATTGTAAATTGCATATGGAGCTTGGTTGAGAGCTTGAAAGTACCAGAACATATAAAAGCTCCCAGAAGCATCCTTATAGGAACAGGGGATCATCACATGTTCTTCTTCTTTAACTGTGATTGAAGATTCTGATTGATTCACCGTCTGTCCACGTGCAAGTTCTAAAAATCACCAAAATGGTTTAAACATATTAGGACAGTTTAAACATGAAGGAAAACGATAGCAGTGTCAACTGTATATTGAAGACAAGAGTAAAATCTACCCTACCTATCACACAGCAGAAAGCTGTTATAACAGTCAATTGGAATCTTTCCAGTTTCATGACTCTCCAGTTCCTCCTGAATGCTCCCCTCAGAGTGATTTCTGAAGTTCGAATGCACACTTTTATTCTCAGCTAATCTCTTTCTCCGAGTAACAGTGTTCATTACTGTCACACACAGTGACGTCAGTGATGTCAGGATTTCTGAAATGTCTTGACGTACCTGTAGGCACAGAGGGGTGGAGAAATGCCAGATTTCACTATTTAACACACAGGAACATACAGTTACTGTAGAACACATGAGCTATAGGAGAACTAAACTGCACAGGAGTGTTATTAAGAAGTTCTATTTATTTTTCCTTATAATGTGTTTTCAGTTAATAAATACTCAGGTGCCTAGCCGTTGTGAGGTATCTTAATGCATAATAAAGATAATTCTTATACTGTATTGTGTATAAGACAGCAGGTTGTATTAATAACCAGTTGTCTAAACAGACAGGATAAAAATAATTTGAAAGCAATAATTTTGAATTGCAAATGCTTTGTGAAAATAGGATGTCTCTGAAATCTTTAAGATAAGAAATGCCAAAGAAGAAAAAGTAAGAAAAAAACATCCATGAAAAGTAATGAAAATATTTTTTGTATAAAAAGTTTTATATATTAGATATATGTATAAGATTGGTAAATTATATATAAAAAATCATAGGTTCATGCCATTTTATGTTTGTTGGTGTGACCCTTAAAAACAATCAGTCTTAGAATGAAAGAGATTCAAACAAATACACTATTATTCCACATAAGTGTGACTTTCATGGCAATTAAAATAAAAATTGTGCTGAGTTGCACATACTATCTGTCCAGAAACAAACCACCTGAAATAAAGGCAAAATAGATTTAGGAATGAATATTCCTAAGAGATCTGGTTAATATGCTTTTTCCACATATTTTCAAATATCTGAGTTGATATCTGAGTTGAGCTCAAGCTCCACCGACCCACTGAGGGTAAAGTTGAAAATGGATGAACGCAGTATTTCCTTGTTACCCACAACACTTCAGTACGTGAAAAATAACAGTAATGTGATCATTCACTTGGTTTTGGCGCCATCTGCTGGTTCATTGTCGACGCACGCTTATATGATCCAATAAAAACGCGAGCGGACCCGGTGATCGGAGGCGTTTAAATGTCAAAACATATTAATCAGTGTGATTTTCAACAATGCAATTTCAATAGCTCAGTTTAGAGGAATACATCATGTGCAAGTAAAAGGTGAACACAGGAGATTTCTTGCTGACTTTGTCTAAATTTATACTGGTTATTTTACTGCACAAAG